TTTAATAAAAAAAATATAGACTTTTATATATTCTATAAATTTCAATTTTTTATATGTTTTATTAATAAAAAATCATCGGGCGTTACTTTTGCCGCGTACTGTACATCTCTAACTCAAAATAATGTTCATAAATAACAATATAGCAGATACAGATAAATTAGTATCTAAACTTGAACATGTAAAAATGTGATTTTAAAAGAAAACGGTTGTAATAGGAGTGGTTATATAGGGTTTGATTTAAGCATTAGTAGCATACCTATATTTTGAGTTTTAAATATATTCTGATCAACAAAGAAAAGATATGTTTGACTTGTTTTAAATCATGATAAATTCAAGTTATTTGAATTTTACCAGTTGATGAGTCAATCACTAGTATACATATAATTTGATATAAGAGCATTTATAAAATTCACGCAAAATAAATATGTTATTATTATCTTGAATGAGGATATCCACATTACAGTATCTTACTATAAAAGTTAGTCAAATAATGAGTATATTATTGGCTGAGAATTCTACATGCAAAATATTCAGAAAATATATCATATTCAATCAGTATAAGAATATAGTATCAGAATCATTTCTAGAATTTTTAACTGTAAAATATTCATTTTAAAAGACTGGCGTCATAATTATTTAGTAATTCTTCACTCTTTTCCCAAAACTTTTTAGTCAAATCTTCGTCTAATGCCTGATCATTTGGTTTTATTTCTTTACAATCTTCAAAATACTTTCCACCTTCATCAATGTTCGGGTCTAATGCAGGGTACATTATATTTATTGCACCAATGTCAGGTGATTTAGCGAACAACATAATAAAATTACTAATATTTGAATTTGGACTCATGTTTGTTGATATAAACCCTGGATGGCATGCTGTGGACGTAACGTCTAAATTTTTTTTTTTTATAAAATCAATAATAAATTTGAGTCACCAAGAATAAATTTTTAAGATAATAATGAAAAGAAATTAACATTTATCACATGGCAAAGTTGATGGAATTGCTTACTTGAACCTTTAAGGCGGCGGTTAAGTTCGTTACTATATATAACATTCTAAAAAATTTTCATATATAAATTAATTGTAAAAGAGTATACTATACAAAATCTTAATATGTACCAATTATCTACTAACCAATAACTTTGCGTTACAATATAATTCCAATAAGCCACAAGATTTTTCACCATTAAGATTGTCTAAATCAATTTTACCACGTTTTTGTGCTGTTGAACTTGTGTGAATTATTTTACACGGAGACTTCGATGTCGAGTTTTTTATGGTCGGAAGTAGAATGGAAGTTAGAAGAAAGTGAGAAAGATGATTAACCTTGTTTAAAAGCATTATTAAAAATATTAAGAACTTGTTAAGCGAGTAAAAAGCGAATAGTTTTTAAAATAAATTTTACCTGGAACTGTTGTTCAAAATTGTCTTTTGTTCTCACCAATCCAGTACAAAAGGTACCTATTTTAAAGTTACAATTAAATACAAAAAAAAAACAATAAAATGCAGCTGATATTCGATTGTACGCACCAGCATTATTCCATAAGTAGTGTAATTCTCCAACCTCTTTAATAAACTTATCAGCAAAATTCTTTACACTATGTAAATCCGCCAAATCCATATCCCATAATTCAATACATTCAACATTTCCATCTTTAGATTCTTTAATATACTCGAGGAGAAGTTCACCTTTTTTTCTATTACGAATTGGAAGTATTAAACGCTTTGGATTGTATGATGAGATTATTCGGGTTAAACTTTTACCAATTCCTAAAAAAAAAAAAAAAAAAAAAAAAAAAAAAAGGGACAAAGAATGGTTATTACAGTAATTATGAGAAATTTTCGGTTTGATAAAAGATACAAACCATCAGTAGAACCGGTAATTATAGCTACTTTATTTGACAAGTCAAAGGAATTAATAATTGACGGATTTGTGCCCATTTCAATTTAAACAGATATCAGATATATTGATAAAATTTAATTGCGATAGAATCTGGTATGTAAGTACCTACGTACAGTTTTTATGTCGGTAGGGCTTTTTATGCTTAATGTCGGATCAATCGTGTTAACCTTCCCATATTAAACCTCCTTTATATTGCAATATACTCTAAAGAAATTTGATTTGTTTATGATTACGTAATCATGCAATGCATTTACATACGTACTGTACGTTGCAAAAGTGGTAACTGTTCCGGAATCACAAAATGCAAGTGACACGGATATCAATTAACATTACTACTAACTAAATAACACTAAACCGCTATCTAACCTAAACCCTAATAAGCGGTAGGCTAAATCATTTTTCAAAATAAGTAGCTGCGCAGCACAGCCAGGAACGGGGATATGTGAAATTTAAAGCAATCATTGAAATTAATTCTTTGCACAACATATTTGATCATTAATTTTATAAAATACTTCAGTACCTCATACTAAAAATCAGTGCTAAAATAA